GTTGGCGCAAGAAGAAAAGTCATCAAAGTCAATTGGATTCATCATCTGGAGACCATGAGTGCCTGGCAATTCAACAAATAGTTGTTGAGATGTTTCAGTCTGGACCAAAGTAGAGGACCAACGGACACAAAAACATAGCTGGCTTCATGTGGAGGTAGTTCTAGTTTCTGACAGGAGAGTCACAGTAAATGAGAGGTCATATTTACCTTATTCTAATCAAAACTTGTATAGCCTACATTTATACACTATAGTAACTTTGTATTGAGCAAATTACTTGAGACACTTGAGGAAATTGGATCAAAGTCAGAGTAGGTACAACTGCCGCAAATTTCAATTAATTCACACTATCATCTACAAACATTACTTACGGTACATGAGCATCACCTTAGATTTTCATGTAATTTGCAGTCAACCTGGGCTGCAGGACAGTTTGCATTTTGCCAGCTCTGCAGATCCGCTAGTGGGCACTTTCATCAGCTGTCACTCGATCCGGGGGATGTTGTTCAAATGGACGTAGAGTAAGCTTTTCCACTGCGCAGCCCAACTCATCCTGAATAAATACTGTCAGTGTTGTTTGCCACTAATTTCCACAGTGGTCATATGAAAACATTAGGTACCAGACAGCAACAGTTGTGTAGAGGGCCCTATGACACCCATGGCTGCCCATCATCACTAGATGATGGGCAGCCATTGCAGACATTACTGCAGGCTGTAACAACAACTATCTATTCATTCATTAAAGCACTGTTCTATAAATACCCAGACTGCTTTAGATCTGTGTAGCACTACAAACCATTGGCTTTTACTCACACTTCATAATGTTCAAGAAGGTACAGTAGGTAAAATACTCTCTCGCAATTTACATGTTTTGAAATGAATACAGAACCTCACTGCCAGTTAAACTCGGGGGTGCTACTTCCTGTTCCATTACTTAAGGTCACAGTTCACTGAGAAAAACAGTGGCAGTATACGTAAGATGGTAAAGTACCTTGCATACTGCACACTTCCACTCAAGTACCCATCAATATCCCAAGGGAACCAGTCCTCCCAGTTGGTTGAGGCCCTCGCTTGTGGCAAAGGACATTGTGATCGCTAAGCTGCTACCCAATTTTTGGAGGGAAAACAAAAAAGAATCTCGATTGACATGAGGGAGACAGGAAGCTCTAGCAGCTCTAGTATCGCCCCCGTCCTGTCCTCCACCCACCTTCAGTTTTCTAGGTGGAGCAGTGTAATCACTGACATTCAAACTCAATGCCCTCCACCCACCAAGAGGTCTCTGGCTTATCTCTGTCTGTCATTACAATCAGTGTTCATGCTCATGCATGTGGATTCTAAAGTCAATACAAAGGGCAGGATATGAGACAAATCATAATAAAGCAGGCTGATGATTTCTTTTACCATGTGGTGGGAATGCTGAAATGGAAGAAAATGACTTCATGTAGAATTAGATGCACAAACATGGTCCGTATATGGTCTCTCCCTTTTTTTTTTCCCAGCCCTGACCCTCGTGTTTTGCAGGGCGGGGATGTTAACACATGGCACTGTTTTCCATCCACTTGGCAGGAAATGCATCATAGTTCATTGTGGGGGGACTGCCATGTTTTTTTTAACAGGAAAGTGTAAAAATAACTATAAGCCGGTGGTTCCAAGGCCCGGTGAGCATGCCAGCATTTAGAAAAATGCAGGGGCTGAAGCAGAGATGTGTTGATTTAATGGTAAAGATAAACAAGCTGGAACTGTTGTTCTTGATGGAAAGGTGTTAGTAGTTGTATTGGATTGCATTCAGTGAATAGAGAGAAAATAATTACAAGCAGTAAAAGATCAGCTGGATTGACAGTGATGTCAGTTCATGTTATGTGCTCAGCACACCATTCCACTATGGCACTTCAAAGCTCCTGGATGACTGCAGTATAGGGTACAGAGTAGTGCCTATATCAGTCCCTTTTAACATAATCGCGTATACATGCTCTATACTAATTTAGCAGTAAACCAGGAGTCATCTGTTATTTTTCCAAAGCTGTATTCAACAAATTTGGCAAAGAAAAATTTACATATAGATGTTTATTTATAATATTACAACAATCTATCTAAAAATTTTGTTTTCTAATTCCCAGTTTCACAGAAGGCCACAGGGGCCAGGATTACATGGACCCCAAGCTCTCTCAAGCTAAATGGGGATAATAGCATGGAAAATTATCCAAATTAAGTCATGTAGATTGCGATTAGACGTAGATTAAGTCACCAGCAACTTCAGCAAATCTGGAAATACGCAGATCTTATACTTGTCATTAGCAGTGCGTTATGTTGCACAACCATCACCTCCTCGGAGGACGTGTAGACCAGGGCTTCAAACTGAAAAAACACTGCAAATTCTTACGCAATATGAAATATGTGTGTTATTCAAAGCGCTGCAGGGATTGGTCCCATAGTTTACAGATCGTGGTGCTACACAACACTGGTCTTAAAACTGAAAAGTTTGTAATTCTGCAAACTCTCTGAATTTCTCTTGAACAAACACAAACACCTTCAGCAAAAAGCCTGAGAGAGGGCACAAAGGGAAGTGATAGGATAAAGAGCTGCAATCCCTTTCTCCAAGCTGTAGCATCCGCTGAGGAAACTCTAGAAGACAGGAACACAGAGATATGAGCGCACAGCTCAGGAATGGAGGATGTATGACGTTGTTCCCAGCATCCCCTTCAACCAGCCCCTTCCCCTCCAACACACTCCCCAACACTGATTGAGCTGTTTGTGTCGCCTCCTGTTATTGTCAGGTTAAAAGGTTTACTCACTCCCTGCCTCGTTGCCTCCCTGGAAAAAAATCTGTCTGTTTTCCCACCAACCAGTGCACCTATATTTAAGAATGTATAAAACAAGAATCTCAGAAAGACTAAGAAAAGGAAACAAAGGGAAGTTTAGCAGCGCCATAAGTCATGATACAAGCTGTGATCAAGCTTTCACATGGGGGTGTTAAACAATGGAAACTATATTTGATTGAGGTTCACAAAGGCATTTCCTGACATAACTTCAAAAATGCGTTTCACAAGGATGCAGGGGTTACAGGAAGGGCTGCAAGCTGAAGTATGAATTTGACTCAGATTTTGTTTTGTGTGTAGGTTATAATGAACGCCTGCTTTGGGCACATCTATGACTTTCTCTCTTTCTTTTGTCCTCAATTCTGTCCTTCATGGCTAACTTCACCTCATCTGGTGAGACATTATCAAGATCTGGATTAACATGCTTGTGGGGGGAATTAAATACTTTTCTAACTTGTCCCTTGTACTAAATATTTCCAATACATGTCCAGCTTTTCGAATTTCAGGACTGTACCAGGTTTTCCATGACTGTGGAAATGCTGCACAGACCATGAGTCAGTATGTTTTGTGGCAATACTGGAAAGTCTGTTCCCACTAAGATTTGTTCTGGAAAAGGCATATCTGAAATCTGCATCCTTCTGTCATTCTTCTGATGCCCTCAGTTATTTTCCGCCATGTTACCATTATTTCTGCAGGGCGCTAACTTCTGGGCCGTATAGAGAGAAATGTTCTCAGGGAGATGCATGGGATGTTTACGTTCACACATGCTGGCTGGTTCTCTGCTGCTTTAGGGCTGTACGTTTCCTCACTGACACAGCAGAGAGGCGTGTGCTACCACTGACAGAGGAAACCACTCCAAAACTTCAAAGGTTACTGAAATGCCATTAAGTTCAGCAGCTAAATTAACAACCATTGCATTTCTGAAACCACATTCATGGTTCATTTTTTTAACCTTTTTACACAAGAATAAATATTTTGCTCTCTCTCTCTGAGATGTCGAAATGGGAGAAATTATAGAATTATTTTCCAATAATTTTTATTATTGCTATTCATGCCTAATGTATGAGCATCACCACCACTGAATGTGCACTCAATATTAACCTGAAATAAGAATTGGATTAGAACTTAAAAGCAGTATGAAAAATGGTATCTGCAGCACCCTGATTGTAGCAAAGTGCAGATAGTTCTGCTCTGGCGGAGGTGACAGATTTTTTTCAGTACAATAAGTTTTTTAAAAATCAATCTCCATACAAAACCAAGCACTTATCTGTGCTGCCTGTAGACATAATGATTATAATAATAATAATAATAATTCAGCCCTTACTGCATTACCGCTTTCCCAAAATCAAGTCAACATATGCATAGGTTGGAGAGGCGCTGTTGCCCCCTCTCTTTGAGTTAAATGTCTCAGTAATGTCACACTGACCACATCACAAGTGATATCACACCAAATCTGCTGTTTGCAGTTGATAGAAAACCATTGCTGACATCACTGACTGTGAAGTAGGAGAACACAGATGCTACTAATAGCAAAACAACTGGAATTCTGCCATCATTGATGTTTTTATTTACACCTACAGATTTTCTTACTGTGGCATGACATAAAAAAGGCCTTTTAATCCCTATATATCCTGTAATACAAGCAGAATAGGATGGAGCTGGGTTTTAGCTGTGTTTGCTGTTGGACAGAGTGAATGCAGACTACTTGATGGACAAAATCCCCAGCATTTGTGAACTTCACTCACCATAACCTGCACTAAGTGTAAAAGGTGAATCAGTGCAGAAAGACACTTAATGAAGATCTGACATCAAAATGTTTGTCTTTTGGTTTCTGCACTTTTCCACTTTCTGCACAGTAAGAGGAGCAGATCAGGGATCAGTAATTGAGTCTCTTTTGAACAATGTTGTGTAGATGTTCTGCTACCTGCATTCAATGGCACTTACAGTCTATATTTATAATTTATCGGCATTTATCGTTTTCTTTAAAAATCACGTGATTTGGTCTTTCTTGTACTTAATTTTGTGTTGGGGTCTTTAGTTTTGATTTGATTGGTGTTCTGTAAGTAAAAGAAGCTTAAAGATACAACCATAAACCATCTCAGGTTTATTCTAAAAAAAAAAGCTAATGCTTAACTTGCGCTCGCATCCACACGGACAATAAGCTCTAACTTGCACGCAGACACTCACCTTCCAGCCCGCGGAGCTGTTGCTGTCTCCTTTATCCTTGAAGTAGGGCACACTCTTGACCATCCAGTCGTAAATCTGAGACAGTGTCAGCCTCTTCTCAGGTGAGCTGTCTATCGCCTTGGTAATCAGGTCAGCGTACGACATGTTCCCCCAGGCGTTACGGCGGGACGAGCTGTGGCCGCTCTTTCTCTGGCCGGAGCTGCTGCCCAGGGGTGCGACGCCAGGAGGAGGCACCTGTTGCTGAGGCGGCAGCTGCGGCCCCGGGAGCTGCTGCTGCTGCTGCTGCTGCTGCTGAAGATGATGATGGCGGCGGTGGTGGTGGTGATGTGGATGCACGCAGTTTCCGTCCCGACACTGAAAATCATTGCAGGCCACAGGCTGTTTCTGCTCTGCATACTCTTCATAGTCCTCCTCCAACAAGCCGAGGTTACTAATGAACTCGGTGTTTCCTCCTCCTTGCTCCTGCTGCACCGACGGTGCCGGGGAGGATGTGTTGGAGCCGGCAGGATCGATGAGCTCTGGCCGGGGAAGCGGCCAAGTGCACGATCGCGGGCGAGAGAGAGGCTCAAAGTCCGGGTCTATTTCGACCGGCTGTGTCTGTGGTGGCGGTGCCTCAGCCATGTCAGGATCAAACCGGCGCTAACTGTCACATAGACACTCACAAAAAATAATCACCCAGGTAAAATCAAAGAAAAAGTTGCGTTCACACACTAGGTTCCAGTACTAAAATAGACCAGTTGGGAGAGGTCTACAATTTACGAGTGAGAACTGTTTCGTTCAAGGTCTTCTCTGAAGTTCACACCATCCTGCACAGACTGTTGCAACTCTCAAGTCTGCCGCTCTATCACTATTAACAAGTAGTAGTGAATCTGGTGCTGCATTCACGGCCCAATCACAGGCTCCGTCTTCTGGGTTTCACAAATTGAGGGCGCATTCAAGTATTTAAGTACAGTATTCTTTGGTTGGAAATCATGCCTAAATGGACCCTGCTTGAAACCAAATGTGCATCATATATGCAATTTATTTCTTTAAAATTTGCAGTCGACCTTACATAGTTAATTCGGCTATTATTGACATATCTGTACTCTTCATAGATGGTATGACTTTAATACATAGACTGTATATACGTGTAATCAGTGACCAGTCATTATTAATTGTTGCTGTGTGTTCTTTCCGCCACCTCAAACCCATGTCATTAATTCTTATAATTCCAACGCATTTTGACGGCACCTAAATGCACCATAGATGCAGTAGGACATGTAGAATTCCCCTTGCGCTTTGAAACACACTTTACCCATGTCACTACCAGAGAAAGGTTTTTCTGAAAAATAAACTTTGTCCCTTGTGGTTTTGATAATAAAATCTCTAACAGGTGGTCTTCCTTTAAAAAAAGTGGCATGTTTCTATAAGGTAGTTCTGTATTTTCCATAAAAGACCTCAATTCCATGAACAGCCCAGCCATCAGTTTGTGTTTTTGACCTGTTACCTATGATTTTGATATCCAATACACTGTTATTACTTCACGAAATGTTATGACACCACTTAAATTATAGCTTGGTCCTTCATATCCAGTTTTATAACACTAGTTAATACAACAGCTCCAACACATTAGTGCATCACAGCCTTGTATAGGACCATAGCTGACAGCAGTGCCATCTAGTGGATTATTAGCATATAAGGAATTTCAGAACATAACCAGGTGTCTTTCCACACACATTTTTTGTACTTTATACAGTCCACACGCATACAAGTAAGGAAATGTTGCCAACCTCTTATCATGCCAATCCTGGCTGTGTTTAAGGAAAAGTGAACAAAATGTGGAAATGAGGCACTTTAAAATGTCAAGCTCTCAGTTTCCACACTTTCTCAGACAATAGATTGCCATGGGTGTTTTTAGACCAGAAGGAATCTGTGTGGTACATTGTTAACATGTTTTTTAACTTTAAAAGCACTTCCCTTGCAAAGTGCACAAGGTTCAAGGTCCAATTACACATCTACTGTAACCCTGATCTTAGGTCCTAGATGTTGCACACAAGTTATCCTGCCTGGAAAAACACCATTAATCATTATCACAGCTGTTTGCAGACCCGACACTAAAAAAAATACAAAAAATATTTTGATCAAACCTATTTTCTTTTAATGTGGAGGTCTTTATCAATCCATCAAACTTAACAGTCTAGTGTTGTTTTATGTGCAACCTAATCTGCAAACTAATCAAGTTAACCAGTATTTTTGTACATTACTTAATACACCAGTGTACCACACTACCGCAGTGACTGCCTGCATTAGCATTGGACTATGCAAATACAGTGTGAACAATGATCAGTGGTACATGTGGGTGGCTGAAATCAGCAAAAAGCCAAGACTGTTTCTTTGCTGCTTTATATTGTTTGTATAATTAATACAAGCAACATTTCACTTTCCTCCTGCACTGTTTTCTTCATCATGTGACAAGACAATATTGAAGTGATTAAACAGTGGTTTTATGGTCTGATCAATGTTTTAGAGACAGTAGATACAGTATAATGTTTGACACCGTGACACAGACTTTATGCCAGTCCACTCTCACAGGCCTCCTGGAAAGCCCAGAAATCTAAACCAGGTTTCTACTGGCTCCTGTTAAACTGTATGAATAAGGACAGTCATGGTTGCAAAGCCCCACTGAGAAAATGGCTCTTGCTTTTATGTGTTCACAGTCAAGCGAATATTGAAAATATATTTAAGTGTAAGTTCACTTCAGGTAAACATCAGCCTCCTTGAGGACGTCCTCTTTTTGGTGGAAGTAGTCTCTGAACCAGGAAATGTGTTCCCTCTTCTGCTGGACAGTCAAGTAGGGATTCCTGGACAGACCACCCACCACAAGCTCCATGAAGTGACGCACTGGTCCTTGACTGGGGAAGCCCTCATTCAAGTGTTTCTCTAGGAAGATATGCTCATGGAACGGAACACTGGACTCCTCCACCTCCAGGCCTGACATAAGAACAAGAAGACACTGTCACCATGTCCCTTGGCCAAACTTTAATTTTTCTGTCTCTGTATAATGAACACAAACACAGCATTCATTACTTACCAGCTTCATTGTTGATTGGGTACTGCCACATTTTCCCCTCTTTGGTCCACTGGATCATTTCCTCAAGCGCATTGCGGGGCATATTGTTGACCAACAGAGACAACTGATTAGCAAAGTCCATGTCCCATAGAGTTGGCCGCTCTGAAAATATGATACCAGCATTATTAGTAAATGTGCCAATGAAGTTTAAACCAGAAGACTTTGCAAGGTGACGTTCAATTTAAGAGAAACAGAGAGAAACTGCATGACAATAAGCATTAATGAAGCTGTGCGCTCATGAGAACAGTTTGTGTTACAGCAATGTATTTATTTAATTTGAGCAGGAGTGGCTAACTTCTGGAGGAAAAATTCACTGTTGCTGAGCTCCAGAGATCCTGTGTGGAGAAACTTCGAGAAGGACTACAAATTCTAAGAGTCATGTCAGGTTTCCTCCAAACATGACGCTTAGAATTGAGGCCAAACAGTTTCAACCTTGGTTTCATCAGACCAGAGAATCTTGTTTTTCACAGCCTGAGAGTCCGTTAGGAGTTTATTATTGCAATAGTGGCTTGTTTTCTGCTTTGATATATATACATTATCAGCTGTGAGACCTTTCCTAATCATGTCCAATCAAATGAATTCACCCCAGGTTGCCTCCAATCAAGGTGTAGAAACATCTCAAAGATGATCAAGAGAAGTGGGAAGCACCTGAGCTAAATTAAGTGTCATAGCAAAGAGTCTGAATACTCCAATGTGATATTTCACGTTTTAATTTTTAATACATTTGCAAACATTTCTAAAATTCTATTTTCACTTTATCTCATTATGGAATATTGATATAAGACTGATGAGAGAAAATTTGTTTTTTTTGTTTTCTTTTAACATAAAGCCGCAACATAACACAATGTGAGAAATGGAGGGGGTCTGAACACCTTCTGAATACAAAGTATATGTAGTGAAAACTTTGAAGCAATTTAACAAAAGGTGCTAAGTGTATTTTTAGGTGAAATTGAAGGTATCACTATATTCATATGTGTAAGTTCCAGTGAATAATGTCCAGTGAGAGGCATGCTGTCTTTGCTCAGAGACTATTTTTACAGAGTACAGAGGACTGATAGAGAGCTTTGTCACATGGTGCAACAACAATCACCTGAAGCTCAATATTAGCAAAAACCAATGAGCTTCTGGTTGGAACAGGAGGTACCCTGTCCTGGTAAACTCCTACAAGTCAAATCAATAAAAGAAAAATGGGACTGAACTCACAACACTGAAGCCTTCTTCATGAAGGGACAGAGCAGACTGTTCTTCCTAAGGAGACTCAGATCCTTAGGCATATATAAATCAACTTGCCTTGACTTTGTTAAGATTTGTTCTGCTGTGTTTCTACTGTAGTAGTGTGTAAGGCTTGGCCAATAAAGCTGATTCTGATAGAACATAACTTTAGCCATGACAGTAGACAATACTTCAAATATAGATGTTACTGCTTCACACAAATCTTCAACCCGGCAGCGCAGCAGATCTATACAATCACTAAAGTTTCAAGGTGGGCACCCAAGATTAGTGTCACCATTTCAGTATCTAACCAAATATGAAATATGGTCACTATGGTCCCCCTCTCTTCCTGACTTACAGCATTGAATAATGGCCAGAAAAGTATTTTTGCAGAAGTTGACCTTTGACCTTTTGTATATAAAATGTCATGACTTGTATATGATATATGATGATGATGATGATGATGATGATGATGATGTATATATGATGACTGATATTAGTGTGAATTTTTGTCAGAAGTGTATAAATCTTTGAGTTATGGCCAAAAATATGTTTTGTGAGTTCACAGTGACTTTTGACCACAAAAATCTAAATTCATTATTACCAACTGCTGATTCAACTCCATCTGCATCAGTAGTGGGGGAGAAGATGTTGAGTCTTTTCGCTCTCAACAAGTTCCTTCAAAAAAAGATAGTAAAACAAGCATTAAACACAGTCCATCTTAAAAACGATCTGAATAAAGATGTGATGAATAGATTTACCCTCTTCGAACACTGTCCAGTTCAGCAGTGATTCCTCCGTCCCGCTTGTATCCTCGCCCGTCATCATCAAACTGGATGTGATTAATCCACCGAGCATTCTGTCGGTTGGGATTCTTTCCTACTTTCATGTCAGCAATAATTTCTCTGAGAAAATATTATTGGATTAATGTTCATTACTTCAGAATGAGGCCTTGTATTTTTCACTATCCAGGCTGAAACCAGAAAAGAAATGTCCCATTCTTTTTTAAAATAGTTATTCCATTAACATTCATATACTGGAGACATGTACACTGGACTCCAGGACACATACCCAAGGTTGTTCATGTCCCCTTTCTTCTGAACCTCAGTGATGGCCTCGTGCTGCCTCAGCTGCTTCAGCAGATCAGACTCGGCCTGGCTACAGTTGGGCAGAGTGGAGGCAGCAGCAGATGCAGCTGCAACCAGCTCAGGATCCAGGATCACACTGAAAAACACAGTGCAGAGAAGCTGGAATCAGTGGATGAAGAGAGACCAAAGCTTCTGGATATCCTCCTAAGGCAATAAATGACACATTTTACAGGCACAGACCCCCTCCCTCTCACCTCTGCGATGAAGCCTCCCCTGTAGCCTTCTGAAACATACTGATGGTGCTCTCCATAGCGGCTGGATGTGATTTGGGGGCAGACTCATGATTTTGTTTCACTTTCATTATTTTGAGCTTCCTCTTATTAGTAACTTCCACCTTCATGGCTCCAAGAAGGTCAAGGAGACTCTCCTTCCCACTCTTAGCTGCATCAGTCTTTACTTGTTGTGACTTGACACTCTGGTCAATTTTAACATCCATCTGCTGCTGCGTAGTGCTTCCATCATCTGTCTTTAACACCACTGGTTCTTCCCTTTGTTCGGCCATCTTCATGACTTTTCCGTCATCTTCAGCTTTCTGTGTTGCCAAAGTTGGACTTTCCGTTGGGTCAGCCTTTTCATCTGCATGTGTTTTTTCATCGTGATTAGAGAGGACATCAGGTTTCTTTTCACAGAGCCTGACTGAACTTGTGCTGATGGCTTTGACTCCACCTCCATTAGCAACCCTATGTTAAGAGCAAAACACAGTTAATTATCATAAGGGTAATAACCAGAATGGGTAACAGAACTATTAATGATATAATTCCAATATTCAATATCAAAATATGGCAATTATTATTAGATTAACGATTAACCTGCCATTATTTTTTAGATAAATCAAAGATCAATCAACAAGTCAATTAACTCTCATGTGTGACAAAGAACAGCTACAAATAAGATAAGCATTGAAAACATGAATGTCTGTCATTAGGAAGTGAATTGCTCCTGACTGAGGGGATGGATGGGTCCATCTTCTCTAGATTCATAATAGCTGTAACTTTATATGGGGGTTACCATGGAAACGAACTGACAGCGATGCACCTACGCCGCTCAAAGAAACGTCAATCAAAATGTCCCGCCCACCACTGCAGGTTAAGCAAGCTAATAGCTAACTGTCTCATCCTCTGCTTTTATGGAAACAAGTAACACTCAAGCTTTTTCGCCTGTACAAAGTCACCCGTTTCCTCATAAAAATACATCACTTAACAGTAGTAGCAGTGGTTAGAGTTAGCAGACTGTGTGTGATCATGTATCCCGTTCGGTCAGACACTCCACTCACCTGAAAACTGCAGCCTTGTCGCATTTAGCTGGCAACACACTCAACTCATAGACACTGACTGCAGAATTTCGAGCCGTGTAAACAGTCTTGAAAAAAAACCTGTACATGGTTGCTTCTTGCAATGTCCTTCCACGTTCCTGACATTTGTCTCCGTTACTGCAATATAAGGTCCCCCCTGTAAACTCGAAGGTAATGTTGGTTCCGGGGTCCCTTTTCTAAAGGGACTGTGTTTATCGTAGGGAAACCATTTAATAATAATTTGGAATATGTAACTATTTACTTGTGGCACTGGATATTTTTTCCACTTAAAACACACTCCCGTACCTGAATTGTAGTAAGTTACTTTTCAATAAACTTGAGGCGGTTACTCGATCTGTAAAGTCCTTTATTGTAGTCTCGCGATAGCACAACCGGTCGGAACGTGACTCAAAATGGCGACGCAACACAAGCGCTAATTCACGACCGGAGGTCCCAGCTGCAATCCGTGAATTAGTTAGTTATTTAAATCAAGAGATGGATGTGCATAGAAATGAATTAGCTTTGCGAAATAGTTACTGCTGTAAATCTCACCATTGACTGTTTTTATTCGCATAAGTTCCTGCTTGAACTCAGAAAGGAGAGAACAACTTCGCACAGGTAAAAACGTCAACGGAAGCTAAGTTACTAGCATGCAAGCTAACATACAGCAAATTTAGCCTACTGTAAGTTAATATTAAAGAAATATGCGGTCATTAAAGGGCTTAAATTTAACGCTTAAAATGATTTTGCAATTAAGTTGTTGCGTTTGATTGAATATACTTTTAATGTGTCCTTTCTGTTGCGTGTAGCTTGTTGGTCATTCCGTCGGAGTGATTAACCCGCTTTCTGTGCAACTCACTGTTTGTTTACACACACGAAGTATGTATAAAAAAACTCTTCGGTGTTCGTTTTTTCATGACTTACAACTATGAACCAGAATAGATGTGATTAGGATTTGTAGTTCCTATACACTGATATATATAAAGTACAGAGATAAAACTTTTAAGTTTGCCCCTCAAGTCGATATTGAATTGAGACATCCTCTACAGAAATCACATCCTTCAGTTTATGCGAATAGGACCGTCTTATCTTTGCACATTTGCATCATCATTTTCGCAAAATTGCTCCCTTACCAAATTGCATGATTAAGTGATTAGGTTCTGCTATAAATACAGTTACGATTAAAAAAAGTCGTTTGTGATTTGGTCTTGACTTGACCGCTCCAAGCCATAAACATTATTGTTTTGAATCCATTTCCGTATAGCTTTGGCTTTATGTTGGGGATTGTTATGTTCATTTTGATTTATGTTAGAGAATCATCCCACAACATGATGCTGTTACTACGAGGTTTCATAGTGAGGTTACTGTTGCTTTGTGACGTCCGGTTTTTTGGCTAAAGCCAAATTTTGATTGATGCTGATCAGGAGAAAGTGTAAATTTGTTTCCTACATGCCCTCTGGCAAACACTAGTTGAGATGTCTTATAATGCTTAACCACTGACTTATTTTTTGTCACTCTCCCACAAAGCTACAGTTTAACATTCAGCCATGGAAATCAGTAGCTCCTCCTATGATGTGATTGGCTTCCTTATTGGGGTTCCTGCATTAGTTTCAATGCCCTGCTTTAGGCAGATGTATGGTTGTGTCATATTGTTGAAAAATATCCAAATGATGAGCTGCAATTAGACATACTCTTTCCCATATTTACACACTGCAAATTTACATTCAGCAAAATTATGTCTATAGAAATAGACTATAAACTGATAATACCAGCTGGACCATCACATAACTAGGGCTGATTATTTTCATATTGATTAATCTGACAATAATTTTTTATGGTTAATCGATTAATCGTCTATAAAATGACAGTACATACATGGTGAAAAGTGCCCATTATAATTTCCCACACAACAAAGTGACATCTTCAGGTGTCTTGTTTTGTCTGACCAGCAGTTCAAAATCCAAAGATGTTCAGTTTACTATTATGTGTGACTAAGGAAAGTTCCAAATCCTGAAAAATTTAAGAAGATACAAACAGCAAATTAAAACTAAACTTTTGCTTAAACAATGTCTTAAACAATTATTTGATTATCAATGTAGTTGGCGATTAATTTTCTATTGATCGACTAATTGACTTATTGTTGCAGCGCTCCACATAAGGAAATCGGGGGTGTCAGTAATACATCAGTATGTTGAGATTGTGACTTCAGACCCACTGAATGTTTATTATTGACATTGAACCATTCAAATTTTGTAGAACAGAAAATGTTATACCAAAAGATTAAGGCTGCAGTGAAAAATTCTCCTGAATAAGTGTAATGCGTTTGTGTGTACATGTGAGAGGTGATATTCACAGACCTGTGTACTTTGTTAGCCATGGCGGAGGAAAGACGACAGAAGCAGTGTTCGGTCGTCCTGCCCACGGAGTCCATGAAGGCCATGGCAGAGTCTGTTGGAGTGGGGCAGTTACAAGAGGAAAGCTGTGTAGCCATAAGTGAAGAAGTCAGCTACAGAATAAAAGAAATTGCACAGGTAAATCATGTATGATTGAAGCAGAATGTTGTATTTGCTTCTGTAAATTGAAACAACATCCTTGAATGTCTTAGTTTACATAATATCTCATACATGAGCTTTATATTTGAATTCAATGCAGTGTCTTTCTTTTCCCCCTTTTACATAGGACGCTCTCAAATTCATGCATCACGGGAAGAGACGTAAATTAACCACCAGTGACATAGATAATGCTCTCAAACTAAAAAATGTGGAGGTAAGGGAGAACTGTTTTTTATTGCCTTGTTAAAGCACATACTTATTTGAAGGAAAGCGTGAAGTGGGTCTTTCTTTCTTACTTTCAAAGTGAACCCTTCTCGTTATAGCCCCTGTATGGGTTCCAGTCGCAAGAGTTTATCCCTTTCCGCTTTGCAAGTGGTGGTGGAAGAGAGCTTCATTTCTATGAGGAAAGGGAAGTCGACCTCAGTGACATTATTAACACACCGCTCCCCAGAGTTCCACTAGACGTGTCTCTCAAAGGTACCCAGATCATCAGTATTACAAGCCGGGATATTGTATTGTCGTGCTTTGATTGTATGGTTTTGTATGCTCATACATCACACTTTTCTGTTGATCCATAGCCCACTGGTTAAGCATTGAGGGGGTGCAGCCTTCTATTCCAGAAAATCCACCACCAGGTGAGCCCTGTTTTTAAATTTTCTTCTTTAAAAATACAAAAAAATCTGAAGGACAGACAGACAATAAATTCTATTTACTATATTTTAGCACCAAAAGAGCAACAAAAGGCTGAATCTACAGAGCCCCTCAAAGTTGTCAAACCTGGTCAGGAGGAGGAAGCTACAATTCAAGGCAAGGGTCAGGGGGCAACTACTGCTGATGGCAAAGGTCAGTATCTTGTGTTATATTAAAACTAAACATGTTTTCTGTTTTCTTCTCCTGTGCCTCTGCATTGTTTCTTACCTCACTCCCAAATCATTTATGACTATGGTTGTCCACTTCATCCCATGTTTGTGTCTTTGTCTTTCAGGAAAGGAGAAGGGTCTAATAAGGTTGAAGCCACGCAGCACTCATGAACTGTCTGTGGAACAGCAGCTCTACTACAAGGAAATCACAGAGGCGTGTGTTGGCTCCTGCGAAGCTAAGAGAGCTGTAAGTTCTGCCTGTCTGTCTTTATATATTGTTTATTAAAGGAAGGAGGAAAGGAAGTTTCGAGTAATTAACAGAATTGTGCCAAATTTTCAAATTATTGTTTTAACCTTGTTTGTCATGTCAATTTTGTTTGATAAATTTTTTGGATCTTGTTTCATTCAGGAAGCTCTACAGAGCATTGCCACAGATCCTGGGCTGTATCAGATGCTTCCAAGATTCAGCACATTTATTTCTGAAGGAGTGAGCATCTTTTCCAATGTTTTCTAATGTTCTGAAACACTACTCACCCAGTCATATCTCTACTGAGAGTACTGACTTTATGCTTTCCTCTAAGGTTCGTGTAAATGTGGTCCAAAACAACTTGGCTCTGCTGATTTATCTAATGCGGATGGTCAAAGCTCTGATGGACAACCCCACCTTGTATTTGGAGAAATATGTGAGTGAAGAAAACAGATAAAAATGTTGTTTTATCTTTTTGATGGTTCAAATTTCAACAAGTACTTTTATTCTAATATTTTTTTTTTCTGTCTGTATTTGTAGCTGCATGAGCTCATCCCAGCTGTGGTGACGTGTATTGTGAGTAAGCAGCTGTGTTTGCGACCAGATGTTGACAACCACTGGGCTTTACGAGACTTTGCAGCTCGCCTCATGGCCCAAAGTTGTAAAACCTTCAGTACTACGACCAACAACATCCAGTCCCGTATTACCAAGACTTTTACTAAGGTGGGTTATTCAGTTGGCCAAAAATATTGAGGTAAAGACAAGTTTTGTTAATAGAGCAAAACATATAGAAACATAGTTTAAGCAACCAATTTGACATGAGCCAAATAAAGACCAAATATCTCTCTGGTCAAAACACTCACCAATAGTTTTGAGAATTTTTTTTTTTTTTACCACAGATACTGTATGTTTAGGGTGATTAAATTCAAGGACCATAAATTTTACACTTGAATTTGACACCACTGTTTCAAAAACACCCCATGTACTAAACCAGACTTGCGTGTTTTCCTCAGAGTTGGTTGGATGAAAAAACCCAGTGGACGACACGTTACGGCTGCATCGCTGGACTTGCTGAATTGGGACCTGATGTGAGTGTGATTGTTTTCTTTGAGCCTTTTATCATTTTCACGGTTTTTGTTCGGCACCAACATCCTGATTTTGTCCTCTGTAGGTGATTAAGACGTTGATCCTTCCTCGGCTTACTGTAGAGGGTGCTCGCATCAAAGCAGTGATGGAAGGACCGGTGGTCTCCAATATTGATAAGATAGGAGCTGACCATGTTCAAAGCCTCTTACTGGTAATGAATGATGTTTGGCAATTATTATGCATTAAAAGTAGCCAGTACAATACATTTGTAAACTAAAACAAAGTATTAATCAGTAATTGTTTCTTAATTTGTATCAGACCAGTTCGCATGTTTCATATGTAAAAAATGTGTTTTTGTTTTGTTTTCAAAGAAACACTGTGCAAGTGTTATTGCCAAGAT